ATGCAATGTTCAAGAATTTCAAAAGGAGGTAATGTCAAAATTTCGTCTTTTGGTAATGACCACGAGTTGTTTTGGGCAAAAAATCAAGGTATTTTATTATGGGTTTGAGATAGGGTAAGAAATGTCTAATATTTTCATATGTCAAAAATCTATAATTCTTGAAGAATTAAAAGAATCATTAATTCATTTAATATTCGAAGAACTAAAGATTAAAATTTGTTCAATTGCTCCACCTTAGAAAGCAACATAAATTCAATCATTTAAAATATTAAGCAAACATGAAAGATCAAAGATGTGTTCAAACAAAACAATCATCTAAGTGCAAATGGTATATGCCATGCCCCCTTCTTCGGCAAGCGCCTTATAGTTTTCAGAGGAATGTTTGGGGCTTCTTATGTGGTAATTGCTAACAGCTTCAACATCGTAGCCCTTAGAATATGGGGATTCTTTTCTTAGATCATCCTGGCAGGCTTTGTCCTACAATCAGCTGATCAGGCTCCTACTGTATTGTTTTCAATTTTTTTCTTTTGATGTTACAATCTTGCTTCCATTTGGTGTCATGTGGTTAAAACCACTTCATCGAATCCTCCATGAAGAAATTTCATGTTTATGAAAATGCTTAAAAATGAAATGTAGATGCACAACACAAAATGAAAAAAATGCATGAAATGTTCGAGGCATTGATCCAGAAAAGTGCCCATTATTATAAATAATCATTATTTCGACAAAAATGTTTTATTTTGTAAGAGACATAAAAACAATCAAAGATACATTCGGACTAAATCCTCTAGACCCCGAACAGCTTCCAGCAGGTTAACAAGTCTTCTGTTTTCATCTGTTACTGGTTGTATGCCTTGTTGGACCACTCCAGCTTCCTTTGCCAGGCCGTGTAGATGTCGAGCTGCCTTCTGTACTCGATCCAGGAAATCTCGGATGACTACGTCTCTGGCCTTCACTTTTTGTTGTGCTTGCTCCCAACAGAAACACCACTGCAAACCCCTATCGAAAGGGCAATATCTGAAGCTCACTCGCTCGCTTTTTGAAGCTATTGCTTTACCATCTTTCTCATGTTGTTTCTCCAGATCAACCATATGGATTCTCAGGAGTTATCCTTGACCTTATCTTGGTACCCCTTTCTCAAGTCTTCAAGCTTAAAATAGACTCTTTTCTGCTCTCTTTCTAGTTTGTCTGCTCTATCTTTTTGAGAATCGGCATCTAGTTTCCATTGATAACATTCAACTTCAAGTTCCTTAACTCTCTGTTTCATCTCATTATTCACAGCTTCAAACTCTGCCTTGACTATCTCAAGTTCAGAAGGGACAGGCCTGAGATGTTCCTCCATGGTCCGGGTGTCTTCACAGTCTGGCATCGGGATGCTATCATTCTTTCTCAATCTTCGCCACTCTATATAATCCGGAGTAAGCATATCTCTGGCAGCCACGACATCCATCCGGGATACTTTCTTCCATGACTCGGCTGCCTCTTTGATCCTCTTCTTATAACTGTCACCGTGATACACAAACTCTGATGTAGATAATCCGTATGTTGCTAGGATAAACTGACGTGCCCCATATTGTCTAAGTGCCAACAACGGAGCATACCCAACTGTACCCCAAAGTCCAAGTAAGGTCATAGTGTCAGAATCCCCAAATCAGAAAAGAACGTCACTGAGAAACAACTAGGGGGCTCTCCAAGTGATATCCCGGTCCTGAAGATGAGTGAATACCTTCATCAATTCTTCCTTCGAAGCGCCTTCATGCCATTTCATAGTGATGAACTCTCCCAATAGTGAATAGGTAGTGTTGAATCGGCGGTAGGCAACCCCGTTAGTCTTCCAGAAGTGGCTGTGAATCCAGACTTGAAGGAGCTGAACACATCCAATGAACCTTCCTCCATCAGTTCTTCTGCAATGATTAAGAGACCGAAAGGTCTCGGCTAAGATGATCGGTGCTGGGTTGACTCGCCTTGGAAGTTGTTCAAATAGTTCTACTACGGCTGTGTCGATGCACCCCAAGGTCTTCGGAAAGACAATCAAACCGTACAGACCCAGTGCAAAAAGATCTATAGTCTTCCATTCATCAGGGTGGTTCTTCATTAGTTACTTTATATGGATCCACTCGATTCCTTTCCTGTTACCTTTGTGTCGAAGTCGATCAGTCACCCATTTTTCATCAACCCCTGCAATCTTAGCTAGTTCATTCTTGAAAGGCTGACTCTTGATGTGTTTGATGTATGCCCTCTCTAGTCTGATATTTTCGCAGTGCAGTAGGGTAGTATACTCTTCAATTGTAGGCACCATGTCCTCCCGGTTAAAGGTGAAACAACTATATCCCGGGTTTCAGAATTGAATTAATGCTCGGAGCAGGGGCTCATCAGTCTTGACATGGAGTAAGAGGGCAATATCACCATATCGTTGGCTGAACTTCTACTTTCTGTCATTCCCCTAACTGTCCCAAATATTTCGCAGTTCTTGGACATCATTTTGTTTCAGGCTGACAGATGCATAACTAACAAGCTTTGACACATAATTTCCCTGAAGACTGTCTCCCTTCTCTTTCTGAGTCTTCTCGGACCATAGTCATGCCTCAGCGTTTTTAATCTCTTGTATTACAACACCTTTGTCCATTAATTCGGATTTATTTTGTGTTTAACAAACATTTTTTAAGGATCAATAACCTCTTGTTATGATGCAAATGCTAGAAAACAAACACAAAGGCAAAAAGATTAGTAAAATAAAAATAAAATGACGAAAGAAAAAAAACACAAAAAAGAAAATGGTTAGGGTAAAAATATCTTAGGTTTTGAAATGTGGTTTCGGGGTAGGCTCTAATTCTCCATGGTTTCCCGGTTTAGGTTCTAAAAACGGTACTCGAGTTCTCCTTGCTGGTGCCCCCTTGGGCTTGCCAGACCCTTAGTCCTAAACCCATCACAGGCTTGTGTGGACTAAGTTAAACTCGAGAGGACACATTCCCTTATGCCCGCACGGTGAATAAATTCACACGAAGACATAAGGTATATGAATCCCGAAGGCTACTTGCTAGGCCCGCACGGTGAATAAATTCACACGAAGGCGTCGCTTTTACCCCCACTTAAGATAGTGTTTAGAGCTCAGGTATAGAACCTTAAATGAAAAAGATTTGAAGGTTGAAATCACGAGAAAACGATTAGTACAACTATTTACCCGAAAATATAATCAAAAGTAAATAAAAAAAGATCGAAATGTTACCTTAAAATTTAAACTTACCCTTTTCGTTAAAAAGACAACTAAAATTACCTTAGCTTGACTCACTTACCTGTCCCCAGCGGAGTCGCCAAGCTGTCGCAACCGTCTTTCGGTTGGGCCCCGGAATTGGGCTTCGACTTGAAAAATGTGGATTGGAGTCACCACCGATCATTTATTTAAAACAAATGGGTTGATCGGATACCCTATTTCTTACCTGATCTGCGTCTTTCCAAAGTCGGTTACGGTCAAGGAAGGATTAGCACCCTTGAACCGTCCTTTCGGTATTACGTAATTTCCAGTTGTCTTTGATTAAGAAAATTGCAAGTTAAATTAAAAGGTAAAATTTGATCCGAATTACTTACCCTTAATGAGTTTACGGAAATACCCTTAAAAAATAAGATTTTAAAAGAAAATAATAATAATAAAATAAAGTGACAAAACTAAAGAGTAAACCAAGGAAATAAATGAAACCAATAATAATAAACATAAAATAATTGGATGAAAAAAAATGAAATTGAATAAAATAAAATAAATGAAGATAAAATATATATACAAAAAGAATAAAAAAAGTAAAGTATTTTTTAAAAAAAATAATAATAATAAGAGCAAAAAAAACTAAAAATATAATGAAAATAAATAAATAGTATAAATAAAATAATAAAATATATATATATATAAAAATATAAAAATGTATGTATAATATAATAAAATACTAAATAGTAATAATAATAATAAATAAATGAAAAATAAATATACATATAATATTAACTAAAAAAATAGAAATCATAGAAATATAAAATAAATAAAGTAAGAATATATATACGTTAGGAAAATATAAAAAAAACATAGTAAATAAGTAAACATAGATAAAAAATTAATAATAATATATATAATAATAGGAAATAATATAATATAACGCAAAGAAAAATGAAAAAAATTATAATAATAAATAAATAAAATAATTAAATATATACATATATACATATAAATAATAAGGGTTAAATTAAAATAAAAAATAAATTAGAGGTCAAAATTAAAAGCCATTCGAAGAAAAAAACGACAAAACAAGCGGATCCACACGACCCGTTTATAAAAATGCGAATAGTTTTTCAAAAACACAAGCATCATGGACTAGATCTACAAAAATAGATCTCGAAAACGCCCCCGTTCATCGGCCAAAAACACTTCTTTCAGTTTTCTTTTGAAATCAAAACACAGCAAAGGTAAGGAAAAATAATATGCGAATGTATGAACTTTACCTTTCAAAATATAAATGCTTCGAAAAATGGCTACGAGTTGCTTGTAATTTTTTGTTTGGTATTTCGTATATCCTCCTCCGAATGTGTTATAATAGTGAGTTACAATGACTATTTATAATGCTTGTGGATCTTATCTTTAGGAGTTTAAATAATAGTAGAACTTTATCATATTTTTAGGAGTTTGAATCCTAGCAAAATTCTATCTTATTTTTAGGAGTTTAAATCCTAGTAGGACAAAAAGGTGTATTGACAAGAGTGTTGGCCGCAAGTAATCCAAGTTCCCAGAAGAGTAGACCCCATACTTTGTTTGCAAGCGGACCTCCGACGCTACCTTCTGGTGCCCAGGCCAATGGTGGTATGAGTGCACCGGTGCCTCCACGACCTTTCTTGAATGGTACTGTCCCTCCAAGCCCGGTCCCAGTAGCTCGTCCTCTACCCCTCAAAATGTTCCCTATCCACAGATGCAGCTTGGTGGACAAGCACCATGGCAGGGTCAACCACAGCATCTCGGACACCAAATGCCACCTCCAGTCATGCCACCTCCACCTATGCAGTACAGGCCCCCTCCACTGAACATGCCTCCACCTCCACAGGCAATGTCCGGTCTTTCAAGGCCTCCACCAGCAATGTTGATGGGAGCACCACACGGCTGGCCACAATATGCAGCAGCAGCAGCACCGCAACAGCAAATGGGTGGAAGGCCTCCTATGCCACAAAGGTCAATGGCACCCCTCCCCCACCTCCATCTGTAAGTTGAATTCTCCTAATATCTGATTTTTCTTGATTAACCAGATGATGTGCATTTTTGTTTGTTGTGGTGATACATATGATATTGTACTCTATTGATGTATTAATATCTGAAAACGAGATTTTCAATGGGATGCCCTCTTCCTTGATTGCATAATTTTGTTGTTTGTTGAATGACGTCATCGTTTATCATTCCCAATCCATATCCGTTCTTTTCTCCCCTCCAGTGAAAAATAATTCACAGGAAACATTCTTTTAAAGCAATGATTCTCAATTGTCACCTTTTGTTTATTTCAGTAATAAATAAATGTTTAAAAGATATTATAAACACTTGAAAAAAATAAAAATCTAAACAATATAAAATTTAAATTACCAAGCCTATAATAACTCTTACATTATTATTATTTTGATAAAAGTCTCTAATTAAATTAAAAATTTAATATCATATATAAAGACCCTATATAAGAAAAAAAATCTTGTCAAAATGTAATCGAGGATAGATACAAACAAATATAAGAAAATAATATTAAAAAATCTAATCAAAAGTTCTATTTTGTTTACATTTTTAGCTCCTCACACCTTAATTTTTCTAGCTTCTCTCATTTGTAATGTGTCATTCATACTTTCTTTTTTCATTTTTGTTTATCAACAATAGTCTTAACCTTGATATTAATTGTCGAAGATCAGTTTTTTATTATCATTTTATTTTTATATTGAATCTTTATTTTTTCCTCATTTTTAATTTTTAATAAGTCTATTTTATGATTTTAATCATGACATACTTTTATCTATATTTATTACACGTGTTTGTCTATATATTGATATATCCCTTATCTTTTGATGTATTTTAAACCGTTTAACCATTATTTTTCATTTAACTCTGTGCAGCGTCACTCCAATGGAGCGATCCGTCGCCATGGCAGCCAGCTTATCTGCCACTTTATTGGCTTCACGATAAATGTGACCGACCTTAACTTCCCAATTTCTATTAATAACGGTGCGAATCAGCATCAAGATCACCATATTATCCGCAGACCGGCCAGTCCTGTTGATTAGATCGACGGCAATCTATTTCCACAAGGACCTTCTTGAAACCAAGGTCCCAAGCATGCAAAAGTACATCATAAATGACCCATAAGTGTTTAAAACCGAGCAGATACCGACGCTGCTTGAGAAACCAAAAAATCACAGCATCCTTGATCACTCCACCTACTGCAGCCCTACCGTCTGGCCCCGCAACGTCCCCGTCAGTGTTAGCTTTAACCCAATCCCCAGGCGGTCGTTTCCAACCAACCATCTCCCTGTGCAGCGTTCTACCTCTATGGATTGCTCCCTCAGCTGCCACTATTTCATCCCGAAAACGAAAGCTTGAAACCAACAAATCATCATGCTCATTATGCTCCGATTGAAACAGCATCCTGCACCGGCGTTTCCAAATCTTCCAACAATGGACAACAAATAGCTTCTCCCAGTGCATCTCATTTAACTCAAAGCCACCTTGGTTCTTCAAGTTTGTAACCAACCATTCCTCATGGGTCATTGACATGAAACCATGGAGCTTTTCGGTTTTAATCAGTCGTGGCCAAATTTTCGTTATCTTCAGCGCAACAGGTATCTACGTTGTCCTTCTTCTTGACCGATTAAGATGACATTACTATCTGAAAGACCGATTAAAATATCATTATTTTTTATTTATAATTTTAATGATTGATCTATCTGTTGAACTTTTCTACTTTAGACGACTATCATATTGAATTATGTGGATAATTTTTTTTATATATCACATTATCTAAATAATGGAAAACAAGATATCGTCATTAAAATGTTTGATTTGTATTGATGTTTGACACATCTTTGAAATGTACACACATTTCATATCAACATATCTTCAACATTTCTCATAATTTTTAGTACATTATTTTCCTTTGCCCTTCGCTACATAAAAAAAGACGTCATTTCAAAATTTAATAAAAAAAGGTCCTAAATTAAAGTTTAAGTAATAATAATATGATAAACGGCCTCTAATTTGATAACATATAATTAATAATATACTTATAACATAAAGATTTTATGGGCAACAGGCCATTAATGTACATATAAAGAAAGATTAAGAGTGAACAGAAAGTGAAATGTTTTTTTTGCTTAAAACATAATAGAAATTCATCACAACTATTACATCTTCCCTTCCACCAAGTTAATTGGGTATGTGAGTTTGATGCCTGGCTTTCTCCTTCTCCTTCACTTCACTCCCCTGACTCTTGTCATAATCTCCATGCACAGACAAAATAAAAAAACTCGTTTCCATTAAAAACACACAAGGAAGAATCAAATTAGTGCCTAGCCTTGAAATAAGTTTTACCTGGATGATTTGCATGGATCTCGTTCTCTGTTTTTTTTATCAGATAACCTATAATTCCCTCCATAAATCCCTCCAAATCCTTCTTCTTCTGACCTCGTGGCATATCCTTCTCCGAATGAATCAGACATCACGTCCCTTAAAAACACAAGTTCAAAACAACTCGGAGCTCATCAAGAAAGAAACCGTTTAAACCAAAATCTTGACTAAATGATGTTTGGTTGATACTAACCCGGGTTTCTCTTTAGGGTTGTCGTCTTTCCGGTTCATGCTTTCTGGTTGCTTGGAAGAACAGCTCGTGGTGATGGTAGGCCTGAAGCTGATCAACGAGTTTCTGCGGTGGCTTAGAGAAGATTTCAGAGATGGGGTGAAAACTGAAGGTGGCTGAGCTCGAATTGATCGGATTGCGATCATTTTGGCACTACTGCTCATTCGGGTTGTGAAATTTAAGCAAGGGGTTGAGAGGATACCAGAAACGTTGTGCCTTTGTTAAGTTGAAGACAAGTGTAAAATGTTGGTGGACACGTGTGGAGTGGGACGTAGCTTCCGTGCTCTCTCACCGGCAACGGTAAAAGCTTTGATTAGGTGGACGACGAGGCCCACCAATCGGCGAGGGACAACCAAATGGCTTTACTTTGCCGCTATTCATACGCCTCTATGATTTCGACACCATTCAGTCGTGCATGTCAAAGGTTACGGCAAAATATATATATACAATGAAAAAATAGCCTGGCTTAGTAGTAATAACTAGTTTGAGTAATAAATTCTGTTTTTCTAATGGTTAAAACAATGACTTTGTTTTGTAGTATTCTGATAACTATTATAATCTTTAAAGATTAAGATAAAATGTCCTAGTCAAATTAAAAAAAAAAAAAAAGTAAATAGTTACGGTGTTCAAATTCTAAATCTTAAAAAATAATTATATGTGAATAGTTGCTTATAATGTATACTATTTTGGGTTTAAATTGGATCGATATCAAATAGTTTAATTTTTATTTCCATTAAATTTTAGTATCTTACTATCATTTTAGTGTACTGGATATAGTTCGATTAACATTGTGTTAGTGCATATCAACCATACCAATTAGAGTAAGATTTTAAGATTTTAGAGTAATACACACACACATATATAATTTTTTTTAACTATTTTTATAATTATATTTTATTAAATTATTAAATTTTTTTGGATAAATTTTAAATCAAACCTTTACTTAGAAGAGAAAAGAAGATTTTAGATAAAAGAAGAGGATACTATTAATGAATTTAGAACCTATAATCTAAGGAATACACATACTTTTGGCGTGTACAGTATTCATATCATTTAACAATAAATAGTCATACTTCGAATGTATACAATGTTCGAATCTGAGATTGTAAAGAATTATAATAAATCTCTTAAACATTGAGATTGTTTAATTCGTGATGAAACTTCCCATATGAGTACTAACCTAGATGGTTTGAGAAAACGACTAGTTATATGACAATAACATATAAACACAAAAAAGAACCGTAAGCAAAAACATAAGGACAAAGAAAACTAAATGCACCCTTGAATATAATATATAAAATTTATTCTCTCTTTTCCTTTCACACCAAACAAGGTATATTGGCCGAAAATATGGAGTTATTTCTCCATTGCCGTTTCAATCTAAAATTGGTTTCTTTTTCTTCTTCAATGCCCTCATTTCATAGGCATACTGTTTGTTTCGTTGTACAAAGAACTGTGAAATGTTACAGGTTCAAAGTGTCTGCCAAATTACCACGGGCTTTCATGTATGGTGTTGTGAAGTTGTACCATCTAGTTCGCTGACCAAGATCAATTTACAGGATGTCCGAATGTGCCCCGTTTGCGGAAACAGGTAATAAGCCATTCGCCAGCAGCTCGTATGATGAATCAAACTACTTTCAGTGCCATAAAAGGCTCACATAGACAAGGGTAATAGAAACTTTCTCTCCCTCTTCTTGACCAGAGCCTGCCTATAACCTCTCAAGCATATTGGAAGAAATATACCAAGACATATAGTGATCAAGGAAAGCCCGAAGTGCCGAAAATAAAGCGACAAATAGGACAATAGGACTAACACACTAAATACAAAGGCACAAAAAATAGCCACAGCTACATCTGCCCTGCATAAAGCGAACAGAATCACATCAAGAACATGTAAAAGTTCATTTTGCAACCGAAGTAACGCAAGAGAAAGGCAAAAAGGAGACATGATATGTTACAATGTTCACATGAGGAATTTTTGTGTGAATAACATGAAACCCTTTTTCTGGGGATGAGGATAACCAGTGTAATTCAGAGGACAGTGACAATACTTTCATATCAGTGATGAAATCCGATGAAAGATGAGGACAGTGTGTAAGATTAAGCAATGAATTGTATGTTCTGGCACATTGAGATATCATCAAGAAAAGACCAGTGTTCTCAACAGAAATCCGGGTGATCCATTTCGACTGTCTTCAAAATAAGTTCATTCCTCCCATATATTTCAGTAGCACCAATGTAGGCAGGTCTAGTTTTTTTTCCTGGGCTATTATTAAGTTGTTTTTCACCAGTGAAAGCGACTGCAAAACCCAATGGATATTTACTTAACGAAGACAGCAATTTACATCTGTGACAATTGAAACTCTTGTGACTCGATTAACACTTAGAAGATAAAACCACAATAACTAGAAAATAGCAGAAATGACCTAACACCCTTCGAGTCCTCATTCAATTGCATGAAATCCATCAATGGACGGCGACAAAACAATGATTCTTTCACAATGTTTAAAGCTTGAAGAAATTACGTGCAATGATCCATCTTAATAACTTAACAAAAACAGTAATTTTGGATGGTTTGTTTTGAATGTTAAGAGGAAATTTTTATTCAACCTACCTAGACAACCCCAAATCCTCAAAAGTTAAATCTCTTACAGAAAACTTCAAGATGATTAACTTAAAGCCATTCTTTGGATATAACAGTAAACTTCAAAACCAGATTCCATAGTCTGTTTCAAGTTAAATGCATTTGAAGAACATATAAATTCTATCCAATTGCTGAATAGAGCACAATAATTTTCTCGACAATGAACTCTTAGAAGCTTAATTTGCAAAATTTGTCGATTTCTTGAACTCAAAATTAGCTATTAACCAGCAAAATGATCATTGAAGTTGTAACTTGGAACAATAACATATTCCCAATATTAAAAACTCAATTATTCGTGGAGTTCACATAAAAAGCAAATAGTTTTCATAAACTACTCTCTTTATCAAGACAAATGAAAAAAAAATTACTCTTTCTGATTACAAATCAATCAAACAAACACTCGTGTACTGAAAAATACAATAAAATGCAAAATCTGCACTTTAAAATACTTATAAATAAACGAAAATGAAAAGGAAGATAAAAAGAGTAACGTACCGGGAAGCGATATGGGGTTTGGGAGAGAAAAAGATAAGAGCAGGGTAGGTGTTTTGAGATCGGATCTGGTAATCTCTGAGTTGCTCAACGAGTTTAGACCGAGTTATCATTTCGTGAAAAACGGGTATCTTTCTCCTCCGATCTTTGTAAGCAATCGCTCGAACCAGAGTGTCTTCCTTGTTTGGGTATTGCCGA